AAGCCCCTGCTATTTGGCCAAAGGAACATGTAGTTGGGGAACCATATGTGGCTTCTTCCTCTTCTCCCACTCAGCACCTCAGCATTTTGTGGGAAAAAGGATCTACAGGAAAGAAAGGTCTTAGCTCTCGACAGCTTCATTCTTTTTCATGCATTGCCACCTCTTACTTTGGTCAGAAAAGTGAAAGTCAGTCATTTCCTTAACATTGTCTGCATAAAATTGTCTAGTGGATTCTTTTCTTTTAAAAAAAAAAAAAATCAAGTCTTGTGAGGTCTACTGGAAAAAACCCATGATTTGGATTCAGGCAAGCTGAGCACGGGGGAAAGAAAAGGCATCTGAATCTAACGTGTACTGAGCACTTCTGTGGGACGAAGTCCTTTCACTGAGCCCTCACAGCAGCTAGGGAGGAGCTTGCTGATCCACCAAAAACCAAACCAAACCCTTGCCATCGAGTCGATTCCGACTCATAGTGGCCCTATAAGACACAGTAGAACTGCCCCATAGGGTTTCCAAGGAGCAGCTGGTGGATTCGAACTGCCGACCTTTTGGTTAGCAGCTGAGCTGTTTATCACTGTGCCACCAGGGCTCCTGCTAATCCACATTTTGAGATAAATGGAAGCTGGGGTTCAGTGAGGTTAATAGTTTGATCAAAGTCACACAGCTACTAAATGTTACTCCAGGGATTCAAATCCAGGTGTGTGGCATCCTGAAGCCCAGGCACTTTCTTTTCTGCTCTCCCCTCACTACCTGCCCGAGTTACCGGAGAGAATTGCAGGTGTGCAGGGGAGAACTGAAGAGGGACAGAAGTAGAGGCAGCAGAGGCCACCTAATCTCCAAATATGAACGATGGGACCTCATTCTTGGTCCCCAAGCTAAAATAAACCATTTTCAGTGCTTTTCTCCCTACTCCTTCCTTCCAGTCTTGATTCAACATTCTTCCTCCTTCCCGGGGAAAGGAAGCACTGTACTTCTGTAATAGTCCTAGGTTTTAAAATTGCCGACTTAAGAGTTAGAGGCAAAATGATTGTAGCCATTTAACCCTGAATGCAGTTATACCCACTTAGCTGCTGTGTACCTTTGTGCTTCTGCTGCTTCCTTTAAGCCTGCAGACAATGCCTGTGAGAGTTGAGAAAAGAAGATGGTTTATTGTGAAGTTAGTGAGGAATAGGTTTTCATTGAATTATCCAAATAGACCTTATTTCACCTGAGTTATAGTGATCAAACCTTGCTATCATTTTCTTTTTCAGTTGTGTAGTAATCATTAAGAACTCTTATTTACGTGGCCATAAACTCCATAACAGTTTGGACTTCGTTGTCAGCAGGGCAGGTAGGAGGGGAATGAGCCCTTCTCCATGGATGGAAAATTATTTGTAATGTAACTACTTCCTGGCACTAAAGCACCTGCCTGCTTCCTGCCCACAAGCCTTTAAGAGGGAAAGAGCAGGGTGGGGTGTTTGTAGAAGGTTGCATTGCTGCCCTGGTGTCCTAGGAACCATGTGGCCAGCATGACTGCCAGCCTTAACCGAGCGCACTCTGGTCAGACCTGGGTCAGGCCTCGAGCAGGTTCCCATCCCTCCAAACCTAGCAACTCGGGGGTTTGCACAGACAGGTGGGTAGGAAAGGGAGGTGGTGCTTACGATGTCCAGTGCCTGTCCACCCCCCTGATGCCAGAGAACGTCCGCCCCCTCACTTCCACCCCCCCACCCCACTCTGGGTGCTCCCTATGGAGACCCAGCTGTGAAGGACCTGGGTGTGTCACACAAGCTCCCAGCAGCTTGCAGAGATTCTGGCTGGAGGAAAGCAGAGCCGAGATATTCTCTAATCTCCTAATGACTTTTGCTCTCTCAAATAGTGGCCGGGATAACTTGCTGACTTCCCATCACAGCTGGGAAGGAGTCAACAGCCACTTTCTGGATTTGACAAAAATCATTTATTCACAACAAAGGGTCTTGCACCTTCATATCTTTTTATTTCCAACTTGGAGAAAGGAATGACTTTTAGTTTAAAGGAATTCTGGCCAAGGTAAGCAGGTGAAGGGTTTTATTTTGCCTTGGGAGGGGCCGGTTGGAGGGCTGCTCCTTTCCCTGATATCTAAGGCTGACCTGAACACAGCAGGCTCCCCCTACTTGAAGATGCCCGGGATGGAAGAATATAAGGTGCCTGGATTCTTCCCATCTCCTTCACCTTCTTCCTTTAAAATTAACTCTCATCCCTGCCCACTGAAACTCAGACATGGGTACCCAGAGCCACAGGATGCCTCCACCTCTCCCGTCTCCCAGGTGCCCTGTGATCTCTCTCTGGGCAGGCAGCCATGCCCCCTAGCTCAACCCTAGTTCAACTCAGACTCCCCCAAGCTCTAGACTTGGAGTCAGGAAGAGGTGGACAAGCATGGGTGGGGACCAGCGCGGAGGAGGCCAGAAAATCTTGACCCCGGAAATGGGTGATGTGTCAGGGAGGTGGCCTTTGTCTTTTTACGTAGGTGTGACGATGATAATTAAATGGTACATCATAAATGACTTGCATAATTCTAGAAGACTTGGTAAACCTCTTATAAATGTGAGGTCATTTCACTTTACCACCTTGCTGCCAGGGGTGAACTATTAACTGATGCTAATTAGAGATTCTGCAATCAATAAAGTGAGAAATGCAAAAATTTACTTTGGGTGAGACCTAATTCAAGCCCTTTATGAAAGCTGTTTCCTATCTATACCTAATTATCATGAATTAAGAGTCCCTGGGTGCTGCAAGCTGTTTGTAATCAGCTGCTAACCTAAGGGTTAGAGTCCACCCAGAGGCACCTGGGCAGAAAGGCCTGGTGATCTACTTCGAAAAATCAGCCACTGAAAACCTTATGGAGCACAGTTCTGTTCTGACATCCATGGGGTCTCCATGAGTCAGAGATGGCATCTGATTTATAACAATATATATCATTCACTCTATTTGGGATTGATTAATCTTTTAAGTCTTAGCACAACATCGAATTCTGAGCATGTGCTCAGGCTTCAGTTTGTGTTGCTCTGTGTGTCAGAGTTGGTTTTCTCACAGCTTTATAATAACTGGCAGGGATCTTGGCCACTGAGCCTGAGTGGGTGGCATCCTATTCAGTGTGCCTGGGGGAGGAGCAGAAGGCTGAGACCTGACAAGGGACCAGAGCCTGAGCCTGACCCGGGTTCCCTCCACCTTGGTACTTGATTCAGCAAATTCTTGTTTGGACCTGGCAGTGGGGTTGGAGAAGAGGGGATGGATTCGAGGCATATTTATTTATGAGCTGATTCGTTAATGTGCATGTGAAGGGGTTGGAAGTTTCGATGGCTCTCAAGTTTCAATCTTGGGTCACCTGGTGGATGGTCTTGCCATAAATTGAGACAGAAACCACAGCAGGGGAGAGAATGTCAGGTTTTAGAGTCTTTGAGACTTGAGTGCCTTTGAGGTATCAAGGTAAAGACGTCCATCAGGCAATGGGATATTCACATCTGAAGCTTGAGCAAGAGGTGAGGGCTGGAAATAAAGGTGTGGACAACTTATATGGATAGAAGTTGAAATCCAGAGAGCAAGAGAAAGTGCATGAAAAGAACAGTGAACTGAGACTAGGACCCTGGGGAACTCCTCAGGGGAGACTGAGATGTGGACTGAGAGGACACAGATTCTGCAGTACAGTCCACTGTTTGCAAAGGTGGTGTTCTTTAACCAAGAATGATCCAAGTGGTGGTGAATGAGGAAGGCATGTCATTCCCAGAGAGAGCTTTCTTCATTGATCTGTATAGAAATAGGGGCCCTGGTAGCACAGTGGTTAAGAGCTATGGCAGCTAACCAGAAGGTTGCAGTTTGAATCCACCAGCTGCTCCTTGGAAACCCTATGGGGCAGTTCTACTCTGTCCTATATGGTTGCTATGAGTAGGAAACAACTCAACAGCAATGGGTTTGGTTTTTGGGTTTTGGGTTTCATATAGAAATAACCAAAAATAATTGGGTCCCAATTTCTTGCTAATTCTTTCTAATGAAATTGGGTAGAGTCTTTATGTCTTCATTTAAGATTTATTGAGAAGTATTGGGAAATTGCACGTGGATCCCCTCAGAGCCCACCAATTCTCAGTGTTTGAACCTCATCGAAGCAGCCCTAGTTGCTCCGCCAGCCCTACTGTCCTCAAACCTTGGGATAGGGCTCCTCATAACATATCCAAAGTGGGACAAGGTCTCACAGGTAATGTTGTTTATTTTTTTAAGCCTATCTATTATTTGGATGAAAGGTGACCTCTGGGAGTGGCTTTAGCTCTATCTTAGGGTGATAGTCTCAGGGTTTCCTCTAGTCTCTACTGGTCCTTCAGGCAGTCTTTACACCCTCACCTACTCTCAGTGAGAGTCAGACTCTTCTCATTTTAAGGGCTAAATCCTTGTGAAGAACCCTATCAGGGCTAACAAAGTGAAAAATACAGGAAACGTGCAGTTTTACCAGAGTTTTAAAATCTGTAGAAGTTTTTACAGTTTGTAATACCTTCTTATAACTCCTTTGGGTGTCTGCCACTAGTCTCATTTCTAAAGGTGGGGGTTCATCAGGCTTTCCCCATCTGACTTCAGGCCTTGGTCTAATCAGGATCTGAAAGAGGAATCAAGATAGATGTTCCTTTTAGCCAAGTGGGCCATTAGCATTTCTGAGGACCTCTTGATGGCATCCAATTCTCTAGATCTCTGCCAAAACCAGAGCAATCCCTCCCCAAATATGCTAAGCAGAAATGCACATGATATATAGTACCTATATTTTAGGAGTTTACATTAGTTTCCATTCTATTTGGTAACCAGCGCCTCTCAAAATTAGGTATAATTAACACAGTAAAATCTCATAATTCTGCATATTTCCATTTCCTTATTGCTGGATTCTTTCAAGAGCAAGAGCCCTGTTGTTTTCGTGTTGGAGCCCAGCATTCTGCCTGGCATATGGTAGGTGCCAGATAACTGATTTTCTCTTAATATTTCAACTGAATTATTTCTTTCTCCTCCTACAGAATGAAGAGATTCAAATGCTGTTTTAAATACCCACTGCAACAGAAAGTTTTCATCCTATTTTTAACTCTCTGGCTGTTCTCCATATTAAAACTTCTAAATGTAAGAAGACTCCTCTTCCCTCAAAGAGACATTTATTTGGTTGAGTACTCTTTAAGTACCTCACCTTTTGTAAGAAACAGATACACCCATGTGAAGTATGAAGGCAGATATGAAGTTAACTGTTCAGGCGTCTATGAACAGGAGCCTTTGGAAATTGGCAAGAGTCTGGAAATAAGAAGAAGAGACATCATCGACTTGGACGATGAAGATGTTGTGGCAATAACCAGTGATTGTGAGGTTTATCAGACCATAAGAAGCTACCATCAAAAGCTTGTTTCAAGGGAGGAGAAAAGATTCCCAATAGCCTATTCTTTGGTTGTTCACAAAGACGCCATTATGGTTGAAAGGCTCATCCGTGCTATCTACAACCGTCACAATATCTACTGCATCCATTATGACCGCAAATCACCTGATACCTTCAAAGTTGCCATGAACAGTTTAGCTAAGTGCTTCTCCAATATTTTCATTGCTTCCAAATTAGAAGCTGTGGAATATGCCCACATTTCCAGGCTCCAGGCTGATTTAAATTGCTTGTCAGACCTTCTCAAGTCTTCAGTGCAATGGAAATACGTTATCAACCTATGTGGGCAAGACTTCCCTTTGAAATCAAACTTTGAACTAGTGTCAGAGTTGAAGAAACTTGATGGAGCAAACATGCTAGAGACAGTGAAACCCCTTAACAGTAAAAAGGAAAGATTCACTTTTCACCATGAACTAAGACATATGCCTTATGAATATGTGAAGCTACCAATAAGGACAAACATCTCCAAGGAAGCACCCCCCCATAACATTGAGATATTTGTTGGCAGTGCTTATTTTGTCCTAAGTCGAGCGTTTGTTAAGTATATTTTCAACAATTCCCTTGTTAAAGACTTTTTTGACTGGTCTAAAGATACATACTCCCCTGATGAGCACTTTTGGGCAACCCTAATTCGGGTACCAGGAATACCTGGGGAGATTTCCAGGTCCGCCCAGGATGTATCTGACTTACAGAGTAAGACCCGCCTTGTCAAATGGAATTATCATGAAGGCCTTTTCTATCCCAGTTGTACCGGTTCTCACCTCCGAAGTGTATGTATCTATGGTACAGCAGAATTAAGGTGGCTTATAAAAGATGGACATTGGTTTGCTAATAAATTTGACTCTAAGGTAGACCCTGTGTTGATTAAATGTTTAGCAGAAAAGCTTGAAGAACAACAGAAAGAATGGATCACTTTGTCTTCAGAAAAGGTATTTGTGGATCAAAATCCCACAGCCCCATCATTACAGTAAAATCATGATGAAAACAAGAGGGTGTCTGATTAACGGTTTAATATGGACTTGTCTACAATACCATGCTCAGTACCATTTGAACTGAATCCTTTCAGAGTTTGAAAGGTGTCTAAAATTCCAGGCATAAGAGAAGCTGGCCTGGCTTGGTGATTGTTAGTCTGCAGTTGGTTAGTCTTTTTTATGTTTGTTTTTGCTTATAATCTCACTGAGCCAAATCACTGATCTTAAACATTCAGTTAGTCAGGTATTTATTGAGCACCTACTGTATGCCAAGCACTTTTGTCAGAAAACATGTTAAATTCAAGTTGTAATGAGTTGTACTTGAGATACAGTAGCTTACTCTAATCACACAGCAAACTTAATATCTTTAGTTTCTTCACATAACAATCAAAACTGTATTGTAAAAAGCTTTTGGAGTATGTGGTAATCGTGTAACCACATAAACCACCCGTTTCAGAATAGTGTTTAAGTGCAGTAACCAACACTCCATTTGTCTCTTACTTCAGCTCTCTAGACTTTTTTCTTAACCATTAAAATACTAGGAGGAGAGACTTGGCTACCTCAGAAGAGCTCCAAGAATTGTCCAGTTTCCTGTTTGCCAAAGCATAATTTGCTTTTTGGTACATCAGTTCAGTTTTCAGGGCCGAGAAGACTGTTGGTAGGGCATTTATAGTGTATGAATGTTGGGGAAGGCAGTGGAGATTGGGTGCAAGAGTAGGGGGTCTGGATCAGCTGGTGCTTGAAGAGGAACAAAAGGATTCATTCATACAAGTTTTGCGTCATGTACACAGTGGTGGCGTGAATGGCTTCTTCTTTAGGTGATCCGTTTCTTTAAGACACATTTACTGATAAAAATAAGAACTCATTAATAGTTCTAAGTATCACACCCCAGAACATCGAAGCTAAGTCTTCCAGTTCTTAGATTATCATTATAGGCAGGTTTCTTTACAATGGAATCCTTTCTATGGAATTAGTATACTTTTGTTTTATGGAACGATCAACCTAAATCTCACCTAGTTTTCCTGAAAAGTTTATGTGAAATATGACCACTTTCTAAATTAAATATTATGGTTATTTAAAATTTTTTCTTATTTCTCTGGCAGCTGTCCAAGTAGAATCCAAATTTAAAGTTTTAAAAGCTCTACTAAGTTCATTGTAATCTTCTATGTATCAGCTTAGATCCAGAGAGAAAAAGCTAATCTTCCTAAGGACACAGTTGGAATATTCATTAGTGATATTTTGTAAAACCCACACCTTAGAAAACTATCCAAAGAGTCAAATATACATATATTAATGTCTATTGTGCTGGAGATGAAATGGGTCAGGGGCGTGGTTCAGGGAGCAGGTTGAAGAGTTGCCTGCTTATAATATTTTCACCAATCTTTTGGGAAATGGTGGAACTTACGTAAAAATTTCTTGGCGATCTTACGTTTCAGTGTCTGCCTCAGCATCTACTTAAAGATGTAGCTATCAATGCCAAGATGTGACTATTTGGAAGACGGCAGTATTTGAATATTTGTTTAAAAAATACGTTGTGTTCTACGTGTGACATGCCCTTTGATTCCTTGTTTTAAATTCATGATATTAACTGCCAAGTGGCACCACTTGTGTCTCCCTTTCTTCTTCTCTTGAACTCATTTTCCTTACTTTTTTTTATACCTCCTTCAAAGTATTTTATTCTTTGGAAAACAACTATGACCAAGCCCCTGTTCTTAAAAATAAGTAACCGTTGTATAGAGCTAAGTTCTGCAAAAGGTCTTCACCAGTTTTTTAGTGCATGTGACCATGGACAGGTTACGGCACGTTGGTCTCTATGAACCTCAGTTTTCCTGGTCTTTGTGAAACAAGGACTTGGATGCCTATCCTGGCTTCCTCACAAGTTTTTTGTGAGAAACAACTGAAAATAGTATGCAAAGTGGTTTGAAAATGGGTACACGCTGTAGAAATGTCAGATTGTACTAGTATTATAAGGCAGACATAGATCCAACCCCAGTGCGAGACTTACACATTTATCTTTTCTGGAAAATCTTCAAAATATTAAAAAAAAAAAAAAAAAAAACCACAATTGTAGGGACAGCTTCTGTCCAGGTGTGAAGAAACCCCAGTCACCGTGTGTGAGGTTTCTATTTAACTCAACAAGATTAACAGGTTGGTCCAGTGCCTTAAATCAGGAATGAGGGTAGAAATACTTTTCCAGTGTGTAATTCACTAGACAGGCTTAAGTACACAAGGTCCTGTTGAAATCTCGGTTTTTATGCCTTTAGTCATCAGACGTAAACGCTGGAAAATAAATATGGACCACCTGGTTTAGTGTCTCTCCTTCTGGCAAGAAATGATTCTATCCTCTGTTCATTGGAAACTTTTCCAGTTGTCATCGCGTTAATGCCATACTCAAACGAAACAGGGCACCGTTAAGAGGTGGCAGTGCCTTCTTTTCACGTTAATGCATTTCTCTGGACTCAGTTCCTCACATTTCAGGGAGCTTGTCAGATCACTCCTTTTTGCCTTGGGAATTTTCCAGATTCCCTGTATGCTTTCAAACCTCCTTCAAACCTGAGTCTTCTCTCAGACCTTTTGGTATGAATGACCTCTCTGGTCTGGAGAATGTTCTGCAGTCTGTGTTTTACAATTATTCTTTGTATAGTACTTATTGAATCTAGACTCTATAAGTTATTTGGAGGTGAAGCCAGGACCTTGGAGTTTTTAAATTGTGAGTAGTAGATAATAATGACAAAGCTACCAAAATATATGAAATATGTCTACATCATGTGAACAATCTACTGCAATATACATATTTAAAGACCAGTGTTGCTATTTTTAATGTTTTGATTCTTTTAAGTGATCTATATAAATTTGAAGATTTCTCTTGCCTTCCAGAATAATGTGAACATATATATACACGTATGTGCGTGTGTGTGTGTATGTGTGTGTATAGACATATTTCATAGAAAATAAAAAATGACAATCCACTTTGGGATTGTGAAGTGAATGTACCCTTATGTGTGTTGATGAAGAAATAAGAGTTTTGAGGGTTTTTTTAAAACATTTTTATCAACTGGTCTCTAAGTCACCTATTTTGTTTCTTACTCTCTTCAAAAGACATTTCCCATTATATGAGTTTTAAGTAAATTGGTGTTGCATTTTTGTATTATGCTGCTGCTAGGTGTTAATTTTTCAGAAATGTAAAATAAAATGTACTCTAAAAACCAAACTCCTGGAATTTATGACCTTTTCTTTCTTTGGTTGTACTGGCTCCCTGCAGAGGCACTTACAGTTTATGGCACTTGCTCAGTATTTGAAGAGCAGGGTGAATTTCACTTCAGAGTAAAGAAATTCAGCCTGTGTATTATATACAGAACATAGGCACATGAACTTAAGTTGTTTAATTGGTCTTCCAGGATTTCTCTCTTCATTCTCCTTCAGCTTAGTTTCTCCTGTAATACAAGTTATCTAGATAAATATTCTTGTTTGTTTGATTACTTTATGAAGTTGGTTGCCAGTAGGGTAAATTGAGCTGTTTGTCACAGCTCCCTCAGTTCCAGGAAAATCAAAATTATTCTCTGAGCACGGACTCCCACGTTGGTTTTAAGCCTCATGGGCACCTTAGAGTTCCCCTAGCCATTATTGTTGTTTCATCCTTTCTAAAACCGTAACAGTCACCAGCCTACATGGCTGGCAAGGGCTATACATATCACTGTCAACAAATCACAGTCCTTCATCTCAAAGACTAAGGTCATTTTAGGTCCCTGAGTGGTGAACGGTTAAGCACTTGACTATTAGCTGAAAGTTCGGTGGTTCGAGTCCACCCAGAGGTGCCTCAAGACAGGCCAGGCAATCTGCTTTTGAAAGGTCACAACCATGAAAAACCTACAAAGCAGTTCTACTGGGCACACATGGGGTCACCATGAGTCAGAATCAACTTGAGGACAGCTAACAACAAAAACAAGAAATCTTTAACATAATAAAAGTTAACATTTTATTCTTAACCTAAGGCTAATTCTCATTCTTGCCAAGCTTGACAACCATGTAAACCCACAATAATTTCAGGGACAATTTGGACTTCTTTTTTTTTTTGGTGGGCTTTAGGGGAAGGTGGTGTGTGCAACATCATATTTAACACCCAAGAGTCTTAGATAGTTCCATGTGTTTTATTCCCTTTGGAGTCTACAAATTGTACAACTGAACTGGAACAATTGGCTTCTATTTTCATGAAACCCTGGCGACAGAGAATGAGTAGATTACAAAGTTGTTCTCACTACTGGAAAACTGTTCTACGATGATGCATAACCAACAGCTTGAGTTTTACTTCAGAGACATGATCAGTGTGTCAACCAATGAGAATGTGTTAAGACCAAGAAGACTATTCACCTGACCTCAGATATAGCCTTTGCATAACTTCAAAGTTCTACTTTCTGTGACCATCTTAGATTTAATCATGCAGGAGACAAATAGCCAGAAAAGAATCCACGGAAAAATCAAGGTCAGTGACCTGGGTAAATTTATTTTAATTTTTTGTTGTGTTACTATTGTTTCTTATAGGACAATAAAGGAAATTCTAACATCCTGACAAAACTATTATATTTCTATGAATGCTTTTCTAATCATATATATGTGTGTGTGTGTATCCCCACTACCAATATACTTTGTAATCACTTTGCTATATGGTCTTCATGGCTACATAATGGTCTGATAAACAAACCATAATTCAGCCTTTATCATAGAACATTTGGGTTGTAGCCTACTTAAATATTTTGCTGTCATAAATAACAGTGCTGTGAGTAGATTTGTACACCTAGTTTCTCCTTTCCTGAATTACTTCCTTATTATACATTTCCAAAAGAGGTACAGTCCTGAAAAGAATGGATTTTTTTATTGATTGCTTTTCATATATGTTACAAATCAGCTTCTGAAGGAATCGTATAGGACAGTTGGTTGGTGTATATCAACCCCAACCTTACCTGTCTGAAATAAATTTTATTTATTCTGACCAATGGCTATTATGATTCTCAAATAAGCAAAGACCTTTGCCTAAACAGATCAAAAAAGATGTTCTTTTGCATGTGAGTGATGAACTCTTTCAGAATAAAGTCCTTAAAGGTTTAACTTTGATGACTTGACTCTCCACGCTAGGGAGGATCTAGAGGCTGCTAGTTCCTTCTAACATTCCTTCTCCCTGACTTCCCTGGTTTTACTCTGAGCAAGACTTTGACCAATTGAAAGACTATTTCCCAGCCTCCTTTTCAACTAGGAGTGGCAAATGAGGTCTAAACAGAAGTCATTGCATGGGGCATCTGAGAAAGCACTTCAAAAGTTGCGTACCAAGCTTGCCTCTCCTCCTTTTTCCTGTTGCCTGGAATGTGTTTGTAATGGCTGGAATTTCAGCAGCCATTTTAAAACCATGAGGATGGAAGTTATTTGGAAAGTATAGCAAAGTAAAAATACGACATTTGAACCAGCCAGGATTGCCTACTTCCAGTCTTCTTTTATGGGAGAAAACATTGCTATGTACTTTAAGCTACTGTTATCTCAGGTCTCTATTACTAACTGCTGAACATGATATTGATACCTAACTTATACAATGTTTTTCTAGGACAGTGGTTTTCCAACTTTAGTCTGCATCACAGTGACCCAGAGGGCTTGTTAAATCAGATTGCTACCCTGCTCTCACACCGACCACCAATTTCTCATTAAGTAGGTCTGGGGTTGCTGAGAATTTGCATCTCTGACAAGTTCCCAGGTGAGACGGATGCTGTTCTGGACTACACTTTGAGAACCATTGGTAGGATATCTTCCTAGAAAATTATTTCTTCAACATTATAAACATTAGGCCAAGTTAGCATTTAGAAAGTGTCACATATTACAATAAGCATACATACCTCCAGATCCCAGGATGCCATGGTCAGAAGTTCAGAAATACATGTTCTGTCTTTGGCCATACTACATTGTTTAAGAAGTGGCTATCTATATTTTTTGAATAATGACAAAAGCTGATACATTTCCATAGCTATATATCATCTGAAAACTATTTTCAACTACATTTCTGTCTTATTTGGAAGCATTTTATAAAATGTATTAAGAACAAATTATTAGGTGAAATTACAGTGGTAAAGCCCCCACGTGTCTATCAGTTTGTCATACTATAGGGGCTTGCATGTTGCTGTGATGGGAAAAAGGAAGACCCTCAATGGGATAGACTGACACAGTGGCTGCAACAATGGGCTCAAGTGTAACAAGAATTGTGAGTATGGTGCAGGTCCAGGCAGTGTTTCATTCTGTTGTACATAGGGTTGCTATGAGTTAGAAACGACAGCACCTAGCAACAACAACAGTGGTAAAATCTCAAGTTCAGGCCTATGTGTGAACTATAAAACAAAGATTCGTGCTGGTGAGATAGCCTCCACCCAGCTGAAGTTTTTCATGAGCATTTCAATGTGACAGTCCTAAAAATTAAAAAAAGACTGAAACAGAGAGCCATATATTTCTGTTGACCAGGTTCAAGACATTATAGGAATGCCAATGTGCGATAACAGATACAGGAGTTGTGTCATCTCATAAATGCTGGCAAGTTTTTACTTTAACCCTGGATGGATACTCAAAAATATTGGGCCAAGAAAACAAAATATATCTGCCTAAGGGAAATTGACTCATTTTTGTTTTAAATAGCAACCTGGAGAAGGTAAGTTTCATTGCAACGATTTCCACCCATGATTTAATCTTTTTTTTTTTTTTGGTCTTTATAGTAGTTCTTTTTTATTCAGGGTCATTAATAATCCAGTTTTACAGTTAGTTTCAATAATTGTTGGGAAGGCCACTTCTACATAAAATAGGGAATCCAACACGGAAAGAGGCAAAGGGGATCCCTAGAGTTGGTGCAGGGACATATGAGGATGAGAGCTGGGGAGGCAACCATCCAGACTGAAGTAAGTTAGAATGCTTCAGAGATTTCTTCAGGATGATGAAAATATAGATTACCTCACAAATCTGAATATAT